ACCAACTATACGCCAAGTTCACTAAATGCGAATTCTGGAAAGACAGTGTGGCCTTCCTAGGCCACGTGATAGCCAAGGAAGGAATTAAGGTGGTCCCCTCCAAAATCTGTGCCGTTAAGGAATGGACCACACCGAGCTCACTCTCCGAAGTCCGAAGCTTCCTAGGCTTGGCTGGCTACTATAGGAGGTTTGTACCCGACTTCACCAGGATAGCCCAACCCCTCAACAAACTCATGAAAAAGGAAACCCCCTTCCGATGGGACAACGACTGCATCTCGGCCTTTCAAGAATTGAAGGATAAGCTAACCACGGCAACCGTGCTCGCCATCCCCTCCGGGGAGGAAGGGTTCGAGGTCTTCAGTGACGGGTGTCCAAAAAGGAATTGGGGTGCGTGCTAATGCAAAAAGGCAGGGTAATAGCATACGCATCCAGGCAACTCAAAACCAACGAAGAGAATTACCCCACCCACGACCTCGAACTAGCCGCTATCGTGTTTGCACTAAAAATTTGGAGGCATTACTTATATAGGGTGCAATGCAAGATTTACACGGACCATAAGAGCCTAAAGTACATCTTCACCCAGAAAGACCTAAACATGAGACAACGAAGGTGGCTAGAACTCATAAAAGACTACGATCTAGACATCCAATACCACGAGGGGAAAGCTAACATTGTGGCAGACGCCCTAAGCAGAAAGACTAAACACTCCCTCAACACCACCTGGATCCTACCGGACCAGCTGTACAAGGACTTCCAAAGACTGAATTTGGAAATAATAGAGCAAGATCAAATCCACCCCGACATCCACTTATTCAACACGCAAATCATACCTACACTCTTCGAGGAAATCAAAATAAGACAACAGCAGGATCCGGAACTAGATAAAATCCGTCTCGACCTAACCCAGGGGAAGGAATGGCCCTTCGAAATACACGAAGACGGCAGTCTCCGTTACCAGGGTAGGTGGTGCGTGCCCTCGACGCACCCCCACCTAAAACAACAGATCATTGAGGAAGGGCACAACTCCCCATACTCAGTTCACCCAGGGGGTGACAAACTATACCAAGATGTGAAAAGATCATTTTTGTGGCCCAACATGAAAAAAGAAATCGCAGATTTCGTGGCCAAATGCCTGAATTGCCAAAGGGTGAAGGCCGAACGATGCAAACCCAAGGGACTCGTACAACCCCTTGAGATACCACAAGGAAAATGGGATTCCATATCCATGGACTTCGTCGGAGGCCTACCCCCAACAAAAACCGGCAAGGATAAAATTTGGGTCATAGTGGACCGACTAACCAAAACGGCGCGATTCATTGCCATGAAGGAAATATGGACAATGACACAACTGGCCCAAGCCTACTTGAGCCGAGTAGTAAAGTACCACGGAGTCCCCCGGAACATCGTGTCCGATAGAGACTCCCGGTTTCTTTCACAATTCTGGAAATCGCTGCAATTAGCCTTGGGGACACAACTAAAACTGAGCACCGCCTTCCACCCCACCACTGACGACCAAACCGAGAGAACCATTCAGACTCTCGAAGACATGTTAAGAGCCTGTGTGTTAGACTTTCAGGGGACATGGGAGGAACACCTAGACCTTATTGAATTCTCATACAACAACAGCTACCACGCAAGCATTCGTATGGCGCCCTACGAAGTCTTATACGGACAAAAGTGTAGAACCCCTTTATGTTGGGAAGACATGGTCGACCCAGTAGCACTAGGGCCCCAATACCAACAAGATACCATAACCAAGGTCAAACACATCCAGGAAAGGATGAAGGCTGCCCAGGACCGCCAGAAGTCCTACGCCGACCTAAGGAGGAAACAAGTCGAATTTAACACCGGGGACAAGGTCTGGTTGAGAATCTCTCCCACACGGGGAGTGATGAGATTCGGAAGAAAAGGGAAACTCAGCCCCACGATTTATCGGCCCCTATGAAATCATAGAAAGAGTTGGGAACCTAGCCTATCGCCTCGCTCTACCCGTTGAACTAGAACGAGTACACAACGTATTCCACATATCCCAGCTAAAGAAATACGTGCACAACCCAAGCCACGTGCTTCAACCCGAGGTCGTGGACCTCGACGAGTCACTAGTGAACGAAGAAAAACCCGTGAGAATCCTGGACACCAAGACAAGAACCACCCAACGTCGAGCCATAGAAATGGTGAAAGTCCTATGGACCAACCATGGGACCGAGGAAGCGACATGGGAACTAAAGGACACAATGAAAGAACGCTACCCCGAACTTTTCACACCAGGTAACTAAGAAGAAGTCACTCGACAAGGACCAAGCTTCGGGGACGAAGCTTCCTGTTAAGGGGGGAGAGTGTAACACCCCGTGTTACGATCCCTAAAACCAATTAATCATTTAACCAATTACCCAAAAGAAAGAATTAAATCACAATAATTAATTAGGAAAGGCCCACCATAGTCCATGGGCCCTTATCCCTAAACCCAATCCTTAGTCCTAAAAGGAATAGAGTTAGCAAACCTATAGTAATTAGGCCCTAAGTAAGACTCTTAGATATATAAATAGGGAACATAAGGAGGCACCTAGGACCCCCCCCCCCCCACCACAATAATCCCTCACCACACAAGAAGTTCCAAGAATTCCCCTAGGAGAAATCAAGAAAGAAGAAAGCTTCAAGAAAGGCCCTTCATAGCCAAGGAATTAATTAAGTCTAAAAGGTAACCCATGTCTCAACAAAACCTATTTTCATAGCTATGATTCCCCTCTTAGGATTTCCCCATATTATTGTGTATTGATGATTTGTGATATTATTATTGATGATTGGTGGGATGATTCCATGGGTGATCTTGATGATGAGAGGTTCTTGATAATTATGGTGTTCTTGACGATTATATGACGTTCTTGATAGTTATATGGTGTTTTTGATGTTCTTAATGATTATATGAGGTTCTTGATAGTTATATGATATTCCTACCGAATCTTGATTTTTGAAGATGAATTGTGTTCTTGTTGATTTAAAAATAATTAGAACCCTAGGTTATATGGTGGAATTCGTATGGTATTATTCTTGGTATATTGGGTGGGAATTCGCATGATTGGGTGTTGATTATTTTTAGAAAAGCATGATAGGTTATGTGCCATATGTTTCTTGATTTTGATCCGTTAATTGTCTACGTGTGTTATCAATTGCGTTTGAAAGTGTCTAAGCATGGTTTCGGGTTCCACAAAGGTTCCCGGGGCGTTTTTGGTGAAAAACAGTCAGTGGGGGGTTGGTGGGGGTAGGGACTCGCCACCTACCCGCGGCCTATTTGGGCAACGCTGGCGGGCGGGCAGCTGCCCGCCGGGCACCCGCTGCCCGGAACAGTGCCGCCGGCGGGTGACCTCTCACCCACCGGCTACCCACTGGTTTGTACCCCACCTTGGGATTTTGGCTTCCCCGTTTGATGTTCCCCCGACCCCCGTGGTGTCCCAACGGACTCCGTCCATCGTGCCTATGTCTAGTTTGATATTTCGGGTACCGTTCGTAGGTTGTGTGAGTCTTATATATTGCATACTAGTTGAATTGGTATCCCGTTGACCTAGGTGAAGGAAGCATAAACCCCTTAGGATCATTCTTAGTATGTGAAGGATCACGCATAGGTTTTGTTATACGTTTCCTCCCCCTTCCCAATGTGTTAATGTGGGTTGCATGTGCTTGCTATGTGTTATGTGTGCATGATACCCCAATCCGGTTGCGATCGGATTGGTTATTCCTGAGCTGCGGTTCAGAAGCTGGCTACGGTCAGATTTACACTCTTGGGCTGCGGTCCACCGTTTGGTTGCGATCAAACGTTTCTACATGAGCTGCGATTCATATTTCCTGGCTGCGGTCAGATGACATACTCTTGGGCTGCGGTCCACTGTTTGGTTGCGATCAAACTATGATGAGCTGCGGTTCATCGGTCGGTTGCGATCGACCCCTCCGTGTTGCGATACGGGGCAGGGTGCTGCGGGGCCGTGTCAGAGCTATATGCGCTGACCCTCATGTATGGGCATGCGATTGGTCCTGTGGCGCCAACAAAGTGTGCTATGTGATGAAGTATGGATGAGTTGTTGTTATGAGTATCTTGGGGATGAGACTATGGGATTTATACTGGGGATCGTATATGTTGGGTTATGATTATTAATTGTGCTTATCTTATCTGTCTTGCCTGTTGTAAACTGTATATGCTTGGTATAACTGCTGTCTGTGCTTAGCTCTATCTGTTGAGTCTATCCCTGTTTTAAAAGCTAAAGTTCGTAGGATATATCTTCATGTTCAAAATGGTTTTCGTATATCTATATATATATATATATATATATATATATATACATATATATATATATATATATATATGTATTGTATTTCAACGCGTTGGAGTGGGTTACCAGCATCTCTCGCTGAACAGATATATTTGGCTTTCAGGCACGGACGAATAGATCACTGGAGCGCGCTAGAAGCTGGGGCGTAGCTTAGATAGCATTCCCTTTCGGCCTGCGTGCCATGATTTAGTATTGATACTGATTGAGGTTTCAGAATTTAGCCTGTGCACCCGAGTTCTCTAGCTCGGGTGTGGCATAGCACCCTGTACTCTTTGTATCGTATTTTGGGATTTAATGAGATTCTATCTTTATTATATATGTTTTAAATGTTTTGAAAATCTGGGGTGTTACAAATGCCCTGTTACATAATAATACCTGGCGGCTCATATCGACTGAGCCATGAATGAATATAATTGGGTGAAAATGGGTATACCGCACCAAGCGAAAAGCAAACGGGTCTATAGAGCGCTATAAGGCGCGCTTGGTTGCGAAGGGGTTCAACCAAATGGCTAGAGAAGACTTTTTAACACATTTAGCCCTGTGGTGAAACCACTACAGTGCGCATGTTATTTTCTCTTACAGTGTCGCGTAATTGGACCCTACTTCACCTGGATTTCCATAACGCCTTCCTCAATGGACACTTGGCTGAAACCGTCTTCATGAAGCAGCCTCCCGGGTATGAGGATGCAACACACCCCCGATAATGTCTGTCACCTCCAGCGGTCTCTATATGGGCTAAAACAGGCACCTCGGGCTTGGTTCAAATGCCTACATGATTTCTTGATCTCTTCAGGTTTTTTAGCGTCCAAAACTGATGTGTCCCTGTTTCACTACTCCGCGGGCACCTCACGGGTATTCTTGTTGGTGTACGTGGATGACATCATTATGATGGGTAATGATTCCGCTTTAATTGACACGCTGCTACATTGCTTGTCCTCCACCTTCAAGATAAGGGACCTCGGTACACCGAGTTTCTTTCTCGGCATCGAGACTCTGAAGGTAGACGGGGGCCTCATTCTCTCTCAGTGCCGCTATATGGGTGATGTTTTGAATCGAGCAGGTATGACTGACTGCAAGCCTCTGGCAACTCCAGCGGCTGTGACGCAAGCTGTTACTACCTCGATTGAGCCATTTTATAATCCCACACAGTATCGTCGCTTAGTGGGTGCCCTGCAATACTTGACTATCACTCGGCCAGACCTTTCCTACGTGGTGAATCGGTTGTGTCAGTTTATGCATACCCCTACCGATGAGCACTGGAGACTTCTTAAGCGTGTCTTACGTTACGTCAAAGGCACGCTCAACTACGGTTTACGCTTATCGGCTTCGTCCTCTTCCGACATCCATGCTTTTTCATATTCGGATTGGGTCGGGTGTCTAGTTGACCGAAAGTCAACAAGTGGGTACGCAGTATTTCTCGGGTCTAACCTGATCTTTTGGCTTTCTCGCAAGCAGCGAACAGTTGCCCGTTCTTCGACTACGGCTAAATACAAGGGGCTGGCTGATGTCTCAGCTAAGGTCACGTGGATTGTTTCATTATTGCGCAAGCTCGGTCTTCACTCAGGACAACCAACCGCTCTTTGGTGCAATAATCTTGGCGCCACATATCTATGTGTCAACCCCGTGTTTCATGCCAGGACCAAACACATGGAAATCGATTATCATTTCGTTCGGGATAAAGTTGCCTCCGAGGACTTCGTAGTTAATTTTGTGTCTACAAAGGATCAGCTGGCAGATATCTTCACGAAGCGGTTGCCAACTCCTCGTTTTGGGATCCTTAGGGACAAGCTCAATGTTGTCTCCCTCCAACCTTGTGCTTGAGGGGGTGTGTTAGTGATATTAGTGATGTGGTTAGTAAATATCTTGTTGTAGATTAGTTTGACTTTAGTTAGCTTATTGTGTAGGAGTGAGTTACGTTTCCTACTTACTGTAATATTGTATTGTAGTGTAATCTAATAAGATAACGAATACAATTTGAATTGTCTATCTCATTATTAGCAGGTAGAATTTTGAATTGAATCCTTTATAATGATGATGATGATACAGATCATGGAGAGATGAAGAATTATACACATGCTCCCTTCATGAGTTTGATGATTCAGCTTCCATTATTCAATAAGTAAGTTTCAATTTATACTTTTCATTATTTATTTTTTGAGTACTTCGATTATGTGATGAATATTTATGTGTATTATTAGTTAGAGTGCCAATTGATTAGAACATTGAGTACATAATGAATTACTAAACTCTCTTGAATGTCTGAAGTATCTAAACAATCATTTCATTTCACTAAAATAATACATTAGGTATTAACTGATGTAGGTAACTTGAAAATGTTCTTCTTGGGAAATGCTTATGTTATTCTACCAGTCCATTGGTGTGTTGGAAAACTCCTCCAGTCTGGTACGATTTGATTCTGATGAGTAAAACTTTACCTGCAAAAGGGAAAGGAAGATATATATATATATATATATATATATATATATATATATATATATATATATATTGAATCCAGTGCACCCCCCTAGTCAGGTGAGTTCGTGAGCCCACATCCTAATCGTTTGTTTTTTATTTTGAACGGCTCAGATGTGATGATTTGTCATGTCACGTGCGCTGTGTGTGTATGTAGATAGGGGTTATTTTGTACTTTCGCATTGTCTTTATTATGTTAAGTCTTTATTGCAGCTGGTTTTATGGGATCTGCAGAGTTTGATTAGGAATAACTTTTGGTTTCTCTCCCCTTGCCGTGGTTTCATAGTCTTCGCCAATCTCTAGCCATCCATCCGTTCATCTTCCCTTCGCAACATCTCCTTCCGGTACACAGGGCGCCTGAGTCTTCTTCATGGCGGGTTTGAGCACCAGACGGTTTAAGCGATTTAGGGGCAACTCTTCCGATTCCATTACAGGTATTCTGATTTACCTATCCTTTGTATTTTTTTTGTTTTTTTTTGGAGTTATTTTTGTTTTGGTCTTGGGGGGTTTTATGCTGATCCGAAGGTGTTTGGGTTTTCATCGAGGGTTTTGTATTTTTTTGGCGTCTTAGTTTGTGTATGTGTGTTTGTTTTAGGGGTTTTCACCGGGTGGTGGGTATTGGCATTGGCCGGTGTGTTTAAGGTGGTGCGGGGTAGCGAGTGTGGCGGTGATGAGGGTAGGGTTGCTGGGTTAGGATTCGTTTTTTTTTTAACGTTTAGGGTTAATTTGCACGTTGGATGGTGTGTGCAAATTACTGGGTGATGTGTGCATTGTTGTGCAATAATATTTGTAATGTACTAGAAATATTGTTTGGGTATTTGTTGGTATTACTGTGTATATTTTTTTTTTCCCCAATTTCGATATGTGCGTAGGGGGTTAGAGGTGAATGCAGTATAGTATACCCTTGTTGTAGCATTATTTACTATGGGTTTGTGCGTACATAGTCTGTGATTAGTGCATATTTGTTTTTATGGGGGGGAGGGGGTTGGTGGTCATGCTAATGGTGTTGAACTGGTCTGTGTGTTTTGTTTCGTATTGGGGTTTTTTTATGATGCTGAGGTTAGATTTTTGCCGGTAAAATAGTTCAAGTTGTTTTTTCAAGTATGCTAGGTGCGTAGGGGTTAGGCGGTGAATGCAGTACAGTGTAAACATGGTGTAGCTTTAATTAGTATGGGTTTGTGCGTAATGGGGTTCGGTTTGTGTTTGTTTCGTAATGGGGTTTTTTTTTTTTTTGCAATGAGGTTGGATTCTTGCTGGTAATGTAGCTTGCTGTTTTTTTTTTTTTCTTGTTTTTTTTACAAGTATGTTATGTGCATATGGGGTAGGAGGTTAATGCATTATAGTATAAACAGGGGGATGTAAAGGGGTGGATGCATTGTAATATGAACACAATTTTGTAATGTTGCAGACTGTGGCTGCGATATATGCTGAGAAGTCCGATGCGTTAGCTAGAGCTTTGGAGGACATGGTCCACTTTATGGAGCTCCATGATGACCTCCCGGGCCTATTGTCAAACCTTTCGTTTATACACGGCTTTTACAATTCTTTCCTCACTTTAAATATTGTGGTCAGTTTCGTTGGGATTTTGTTTCTAGATGTTGGTTTTTGTTTTGGGTTTTCACTTGAACATTTCTTATTACAGTTGTGTCCTATATTCGTCTTACGTTTTTTGGGTTTTTTTTTAAATGCATTTGAATTCTCACAATCTTTACGTACGTTCACTCAAATGAACATTGCATATTATAGATGAGTCATATATTACAGCAGTACGCACCAACTTCAATCGTATAATGCACACACGGAAACATGCAAGCATTCAACGACAGCGTTATGCACAGTCTGATGGCCTACTACGCACCTGGCGGTGCACGCCAATGCATACGCACCATATTATTAATAACTACTTACTCTTATTTTCAGGAGTAACGCAATCACCTTTTTTACTACTACGCACAGACTACTGGCCTACTAAGCGACATGCATAGACCGACGACCTACTACGCATACACCATATTAGTAATAAGTAATAAATCTTGTTTATGGTGTAACGCATTCACCTTTATATAACTATGCACACATCCTTGTTTGAAATAAAAATCAATTGTCAAGTGCGTGCAAACTTGGGTGCCAGCAGAGGACTAAACTAAAACCAAAACATAAAACCCACACAGAACAAGTGCTATGAGCTGTCTTCTATTCACTAATGCACACCGCGACACATGCATGTTTTTAGCCACAGCGTTATGCACCGACTGGTGGCCTGCTACGCCACTAGCAGTGCACGAAGATGCATATGCACCATATTAGTATTTACTTACAGCTATACTTTACTGAATACTGCATTCACCTGCATACAACAACGCTCACAGCATAATTACAAATTAATAACAATTTTAAACCCAACCAATAAGTCAACTCGTCTACCGCAACCAAATCTTTGTCTCACTCAGCGATATATCCATAACACATTGTTCGGCGTCCACATCGTCTTCCATAGGTTGTGCACCTGCCACACAAAATCTACTTATCGACGTTTTACGTTTTTAACAACCAAATAAAAAAAAAACAAAAAAAAAACACCAACAAATTATTTCTCAATATAATCACACGGTATGCACGCACTCATCTTCGTATACGCACCCTCCATCATAACTCACATAGTATGTAGTTATCGACATACTCTTGTTGTTCCACACTTCATAAATTCTGAAGCTCGCGCACACCCATCCCAATACATTTAGGCCGTCCAACTAAAAAAAAAAAAAAAGAAAAAAAAAACGACAAAAAAAAAAAAAACAACACCAATCGGACCTATATGCACCCACCTGAACACACACACGCTATGCACATCACATACCTTCTAGTTCGTCCAACAACCCCCACCCCTCCGGAAAAAAACTCCAATCTTCAGCATATGCACACACGAGGGCCCATAAATGCACATACCTGTAAATGCACATACCTGTAAATGCACATGAGTGTGCTCCGTCGTTGTTTATGCACTCCCACCCATTCGTTTTCTCCTCAAGCTTTGTTCACGCCACGTTTAGTTCATCAGCCTTTGTAAATAATTGAAAGTATTAATTACCATTATAAATTCCCTAATATAATGCTTCATATTCCAATCAGAATATATCCATAAATAAACATAAATATACAATTACTATTATCTCCTTCTCATTGGGAAATTTCCTTAATTAATACCCAAATCTCTTATAATCTCAACCATTCATGGAAATAAAATCAATGGATATTAGGAGGGCTAATGGTCTCATCTACTATAGGGGGTGCACCGGATTCCAAGCCTATATATATATATATATATATATATATATATATATATATATATATATATATATATATATATATATATATATGTGTGTGTGTGTGTGTGTGTATATATATATATATACATACTGTAACACCCCAGATTTTCAAGACTTTTAAAACTTATATAATAAAGATAGAATCTCATTAAATCCCAAAATACGATACAAAGAGTACGGGGTGTTATGCCACACCCGAGCTAGAGAACTCGGGTGCACAGGCTAAATTCTAAAACCTCAATCAGTATTAATACTAAATCATGGCACGCAGGCCAAAAGGGAAAACTATCTAAGCTACGTCCCAAGCTTCTAGCGCGCTCCAGTGATCTACTCGTCTGTGCCTGAAAGACAAATATATCTGTTCAGCGAGAGATGCTGGTAACCCACTCCAACGCGTTGAAATACAATACATATAGATATATATATAGATATACGAAAACCATTTTGAACATGAAGATATATCCTACGAACTCTAGCTTTTAAAACAGGGATAGACTCAACAGATAGAGCTAAGCACAGACAGCAGTTATACCAAGCATATACAGTTTACAACAGGCAAGACAAATAAGATAAGCACAATTAATAATCATAACCCAACATATACGATCCCCAGTATAAATCCCATAGTCTCATCCCCAAGATACTCATAACAACAACTCATCCATACTTCATCACATAGCACACTTTGTTGGCGCCACAGGACCAATCGCATGCCCATACATGAGGGTCAGCGCATATAGCTCTGACACGGCCCCGCAGCACCCTGCCCCGTATCGCAACACGGAGGGGTCGATCGCAACCGACCGATGAACTGCAGCTCATCATAGTTTGATCGCAACCAAACAGTGGACCGCAGCCCAAGAGTATGTCATCTGACCGCAGCCAGGAAATATGAACCGCAGCTCATGTAGAAACGTTTGATCGCAACCAAACGGTGGACCGCAGCCCAAGAGTGTAAATCTGACCGCAGCCAGCTTCTGAACCGCAGCTCAGGAATAACCAATCCGATCGCAACCGGATTGGGGTATCATGCACACATAACACATAGCAAGCACATGCAACCCACATTAACACATTGGGAAGGGGGAGGAAACGTATAACAAAACTTATGC